TTATAATGAAGATTATTTATTTTTTTTCTATCTTGTTTGGACTATTTTTAACCTTGTCTAAGATTAAAAAATATATATTTTACTATTATGTTATAGTTTAACATAAAAAGGAAAAAAAAATCACCACACTTTTATTTTGAAATTTTTTGTTTGATTATTAATTGGGAATCTACCACACTTATTGTATATGAAGAAAAAAAAATCATTTTCAAAAACAGTTATACATTATTGTTTCTTTTTTAGCCTATGTTATTTTATTTTATTTTATCTTATTTTTATAATTTAAAATAAAAAAAAATAATGATTATACATCTCACTAATTATATACAAAAACTTTGAAATGACTAATTTTCTCTATAGTATAAGTCTATAAGATCGCATGAATATCACAATAAAAGTGAAATGTATATATAAGTAAATAATAATAAATTCATCTCTATAAATGTATCACTTGCATCCTACATTTTTCTTTTCTTTTTTTTGATAAACTAGATGAAAAAAAATTCTAACACTCTACCATTTTAATATCATTTTCCATCCATCCACTCCAATCCAACCAAACATATAATTAAAAAAAATATATCAGTCTACATATAAAATATAATAAGAAAAAATGTTTTTTTTCAAACAATAAAAATGTAAGAACAAAAAACACATTTTCTTTAAGTTTGAAATATAATAAATTTTAAATGTATTCATAATATATATATATATATATATATATATAAATAAGAGATCCATTTAATTTAATAGTAAATCTATCTACACTTGTTCCATTCATTAATTTATGTTATACATCAAATTTCAATGATTCAACCGTTGAATTTAAAATTCTTAATATATAAATCAAACAAATCTTTTTAAAAATTTAAAAATAATTTGATATATCGTATTATTAATTTAAATTAATAGATAATTATAAAAAAATCCATATATATACATATATAAATATATAGATGAGGAGGCTATAATAATACTAGTGTAATTTTTACTAAGTGTTACACCATTTAATAACTTTTAATTAAATGTGAATTTTGTAAATTTAACCGTTAGATTGAAAGTTCATATCACTTTATATGTGTATATATCAAATTTTGTTAAAATTGAAAAAAAAAACTTGAAGGTAATCAAAATGTGTTCATATTTTAGTATATTTTGAAATGTATATATTATGTCAATTTTGTTTTATAAGAATGAAGTATCAAATCATCTTAGATTAATATAAAATTTTGTATATATAATCTAAGTGTAAAAAAATTTCAATCTAACGGTTAAATTTACAAAATTTAAATTTAATATAAAATTATTAAATGATGTAATACTTAGTAAAAGTTATACCAGTATTATTATAATCTTCCTGTGTATATATCAAATTTTGTTAAAATTGAAAAAAAAAACTTGAAGGTAATCAAAATGTGTTCATATTTTAGTATATTTTGAAATGTATATATTATGTCAATTTTGTTTTATAAGAATGAAGTATCAAATCATCTTAGATTAATATAAAATTTTGTATATATAATCTAAGTGTAAAAAAATTGCACGTGCCTGAATATTTTTCTTAAACTCCTGACCATGTGCCTGAATTTTCTGAGTCCTGAGTCATGAGCATGTGCCTCACATTAATGCATTTCAATAAGGCTATATCAGCTGTCTACTCCCAACAAACCGCAATATTCATGCAAAAAATGAAATTTTAAAATCTGTAGTCTACCGTACCTTTTTTTAGAACACGTTCCTAAATTAATAAATAACAAAAAAAAACAATTATAAAATTAATGAAATAAATTATATTTTTAGCTAATTATATAATTTTAAATATATTTTTAAATTATTGAATTGCTAAATTAATTTATATTTTTCATAATTAGAAAAATAAAAAATGAAATTATTTTTTAATATAATATATATTCATAAATTATTCAAATTCGACTATTTAGTTTAACGTTTGATCAAGTTTGTTTGTCTAATTAAACGAATAAATTCAAACTTGATATTGAGATCAATTATTAAACGAGTGAAGTCTAAATTTTACAAATTTGACATTAACAACCGGTGAATAATATATATATATATATATATATATAGAAAATTTTAAATTATATAGATGATATTATTTGTATGAAAAGATATTTGTATATTTTTATAATTATCATTTAGTAGTAAAATGTTTATTAAATACTAATTTGATAAAATTAAAAAAGAATAATTAAAAATATAATATCAAAAATAGCTCAATTATAAATGAAATAACCTTAACAAATTAAAATAAGGCTTCTAATTGGATTTTTTTGAATAAATTAAACGAGACAAATTTGAGAAATTTACTTCCTTTTGAATATATAACTCCTAAATTTCATGTTTTTTTTAGGTGTACAATAACATCAGTTAAATTACAATTTAAGATCTTATGTAAACTGATACAACCGCACTGTTGAACTGATCGATCTTAGTAAGTAATTTTACTTACTAAGTTTACTTACTATATTATATATTATTTGAGTAAAATTTTACGATATAATCCGTAAAGTAATTTTTTAAAACATTTGCAATAAAAGTGAATAACTTTTTTTAATGATTTAATTATCCTTTTAATTTTTATACTTTCATAAATTCACTTTTTAGTCCTAATAATTAAAAAATATTTTTATTTTACTTATATATATATTTTATTTTTTTAGTCTATATAATTTTATAAACTTAAAAAAAAGTTTAATCTGTATAAAAAAAGTTAAAAAATAAATTTTATGAATATATATAATAAAAAAAGCAGTTAGAACTTAGAGGTATTTAGAACATGTGTGATTAAAAATTGTTACTCCAAAATGTTTGGGTTGACGGCGTGTGAGTGAGACAATAAATAGTGGAGATAAGAAGTTGAGGTATCGGGAGAAGGATAAATGATTAAATGTGGCAAATTGATCTCCTCTCAGCGTTCACTGGGGTTAAGTCAGGTTTGTACTTAACTTTGGAGCCTTCACTTTCATATTTTTTTACCCATTTAGGGTTTAGGGTTTCTTCCCGTTGAGTTGAAAATGGTTCGAAAGAAGATACCGATGAAGAGGATCGAGGACGTAACAGCGAGGCAGGTGTGTTTCTCGAAGAGGAAGAGTGGTCTTTTGAAGAAGGCACGTGAGCTCTCCATTCTTTGTGATGCTGAGATTGCTCTCATCGTCTTTTCACCTGCTTCCAAACTCTTCCAATATGCTACTTCAAGGTACTATCACACCTGCCATACATAACATATACATCATTATCTCATTTAATATACATAAATATAATTTAAATCTTTAAGTTTGAGTATAAATATAATATTAATTAATTTATTACAAAATATTGATAATTTTATTCACATGTTCTTTCAATTAATAAACCTATATACAGTATGATTTTTTTAATAGTCATCGTGGTTAATCATCAAGATTTTAGTCTGCACATTTCACCTAATTAATTAACTCATACTGATTTATGTTTTTCTCGTAATGTAAATATTACAAATTTGAAACTAAAACCCAAATTTTAGTTTTCTGGTTAGTTATTTATTTTACATATGACCTTTAAACATGAACAGAAGATTATATGCCCCAAAATTAATTTAACCTAAGATTCGCCATTGGCTAAGAGGAGATAGCTAGGGAATTTTATTGTAAAAATCATGTATTGAGTCTAAAAACTGTAAAGGGGGTTAAAGAAAGGATAAAACTTATCAGATTATTTACGCACATGTCATGAAGTTTTCCAATTACATAGGACATGTGGATATTTATGTAAAATTCTAAAATAGATATTTAATGGAAGTTATTTATTATTGAAAAGACTTTCTTCATTTTAAAATGATTGATGTTTTAGCATTCAAAAAAAATCTTATTAACAAATATTTTTAATTTTCAACGAAATATTTTTTTTTTCTTGGGTACAATTCTGCCTTAAATATAAAAATAATCAACATTATGATTTTTTTTTAATATCATGTCAATCAATTTTTCAGCAACTAGCACTAATCTTCTATTTACCTTGCTAATCAAGTTGCACTCAGAAAATTGCAAAGTGCTTTTATAATTGAGAAAGAGAATAAAGATATTTTAATAAAATTATTTTTTTTACTAGTCAAATTCTTTATTGCTTTTCTTAATCCTTGTGGAAAAACTTTAAATAACAATTACTTTGAAATGGGGAAAGAAACATCATCCAAGTTTCATCATTTAGATAGAAAACTTGACAACAAGGATATAAATAAATTAAAGTTTTGTCCTTAAAGAAATTAATCTGCAATCTTTTTGTTGTTTGAAGTATGGAGAAGGTAATTGAAAGGTATATTTCACGGTCAGAGCTGAACCTTGACAAATCAGGCCAGTCATGTGCTGAGGAGCAGGTAATTTTTTTTATTTTTTTGTTTCCTAAGTGATGTTTAATTGTGTTCGAGAATTTGAATGACAAAAACAATATTAGTGATTCTGTATGTTCTTGTATAAAGAGGATTTTACGACTACATGAGGAAGAAATAATGTTAGTCACTCTAGTGTTTGGGACATAAATACCAAATTAATTAAGTAATGCAATTAGTGAGAATGTCTCACTCAGCATCAAATTAATGGGAAGGACTGCTATTATTGGGTTAGGTTTAATAAAAAAGAGTTAACTCCTAGCTTGTAAAGTTGCAAATCACCATATAAATCCTTGTTGAGAGAATGAATAAAAAAACATCCTGGTTGAGAGAGACAACATTTATCATTGTGTCTCAAATCTTAATATGTTTAGAGAGTGAACCAGTGTTGAAAAAAAAAAAAAAAAACTGAATGAGAATGACTATAGCTGTCTTGACAAAAATCAAGGCCCCTGCTAACCGATTTTGGGATGAAAACTCAAACACTATAACGTCTGCATGCATGTTCAAGATCGTTGAAACATGAATCTCATCTTTTAGATCATGCTCTTCTACCAAACTGTAATTAAGAATGCTGCATATATACAAAGTTTGCATTAACTGTTCCCTACTATTGCGCCGGTAACAGGTTTGCTCTATCATAAGTTGATCCCCTAATACACGTACATTAATTACCAAATAATATGATACATTATACTAAATAACAATTTGTTAGTATAGATGGTTAGTGTAGATATTATACTATTAACATAATATATTATTCTGTCAGAGTAGTTGTGTCACAATATTTATGTTAATAGTTTAATTTTCACAATGATTATGTGCACATTGTCTTGTTAGTATATGACATTTTGTTTTTTTGGTTGTGTTCGTGGGTGTGAAGGTCTGATTTGTTTGGTAATTTATACAGATTAGATATAATTACGCTGATTTGAACAAGAAATTAGGAGAGAAGACTTGTGAAATGAGGTATTTGTAACTTGGAATATGTTGATTTTTTTTAATATACCACAAAAGTATTTATTTTGCGATGCATTTAAATTCACATCTATTACAATTTTATGATTTAACCATATATAGCCAACTGAATGGAGAAGAACTGCAAGGATTGAGCCTAAAGGAACTACAGAAACTAGAAGATCGACTTGACTCATCCTTGAACCGTGTTTATAAAGTCAAGGTTTATGATTCCCTCCTCTCATCACTGTTTTCTGGATTGAACGAATTCATAACTTCTATTCATGCCCTTTAACTGACACAACGTATGGTATGTCTTTCAGGTTGAAAATTTTATGACAGAGATCGATATTCTTAAGCAAAAGGTAGAGTTTTAATCTTTCATCACATCAAAATATTCTTATGCGTTTATTTTTATCCCCTTATAATAAAGAACAAAATTAATTGCACATTATCCCTTGAAATAACAAACTCGTAACTGTTAAAAAAAAAACTCACTACGCACTGACCCTTAATTAAAATTTGACTTGGGAAGGATCGTTGAAGATGTGTTGGAGAAATGCGCAGCCGAATGGAACCTACTCTGGTACTTGCGACTCCATTTCTTTCTTCTCTTTTCGAGGAAGTTCATTTCTTTCTAAAACTCTCTTGCAATTAGTCTAAAGTAAATGTTTTTTCTTGGGATTCCTAAAACTCTTGGATCCTAAATTTTAGGTGAGATTTTCAATCAGTTTTAACATATGGTGTTGAAACTTAATTAATTGGTATCTAATTCAAGTTGAAGTTTTACATATGCAATTGCGTTAAATATTTATGGAGAGAGTTTTCCTATTTATACCAGTATTATTATAATTTTTCTCATACTTTATATATTATTTATTTATTTTATTCACGTTCACTCATATGAATAAGTAGAAGGATTTATTTATTTTTTGTTATTATGTTATGTGTCCAAACAACGCATTATTCCTATTTTATTTTCCTCTTCTATATTTCATTTATTTATTTTTTCTTTTATTTTGCTTATAATCCAAACTTAGACGTTAGGGCTCGTCTCTTATGCTTTCTGAATCTTTCTTAACTTCAAAAGAGTTAAACTTTTAAAATAGAGTTAAATATAATTTTTATTTCTATAATAAAAGTAAATTGTAATCTTCATCCTTTACTCTAAAATAATTGATCATAAAATGTGAACACTTTAGTTTTATTTTATAAAAAAAAAAAAAGTGCATTTAACTGAGTTTTGATATATATGTGTACCAGTGTAAGGCCGAATACATCACTTAAAAATCTCATATACTAATGGTTGACAGATTAATTCATTCCAATTTATATGGACCTAATCTAATAATAATAATAATAGAATTATTAGTATAAACACTGTTTAGTATTTATAAATATTAATGATACACACATTGATGATATATTATTATATAGTATGATAAATTCTGCTTGCAAATCTACAATATTCAACAATCCAATTTACATATTACATGTGGGCCGTTTGGAGGAGCTTCTGGAACTTTTTGATATGTGGACATAGAATTCGGGACTAAAAAATTTACAAACACAAATTTCTTAATCGAATGAGTTAAATCTTTTTGGTTGTATGGAATTTATTTGACCTTATGAGAATAATTTATGCACTGTCAGTTTTTTTTAACTTATTTTAATATATTTTATGATCAAACTTATGACATAAATTGTTAAATGTGATTGAGTTTATTAAATAAGTATTTAATTAATTAATAAGTCATTTACATACTATATATATAAAAATAAAAAAAAATATTAAAAAAAAACTCATTTGCTGGCAGAAAAAAATATTAAGTATTAAGATTGATTCCATTGATATAACCTTTAAATCTCATTGGTATAATCTTAATTTGACTAATAGATTTAAATTATTAGTATAGACATCGTAGGTCTATACTAATTATATTGTTGGATCTATGCTAATAATATGGTGCAATATATTAATATATAATAATCTGATATATTGATAATGCATGTATTTCAATTTTCTATATAAATCAGTTAAAGTGTTCATTATTATAATATAACACATTATTAATATAAAGTAATAATTTATGCTAATAGTTTAACAACTTTCTTTAATTGAAAATTACATCAGTAAGATTAATTGGATGTCAAATCATTAGTTGTGGTATCTATAGTGCCTATTTTAAGTGACTCAAAGACACCCACAGACTTTATCAACGAAAGTAAACTAAACAACTAGTTGTTAATTTAGATATGCAAAACTAACATATCTCCAAGTTAGGTTTCTATTTACTTCATAATACTACTGCATTACATTTGTATGTTTGTCTTAATAATCTCTTTCTCTGCCTCTATGATGTCTAATTATCAGTTCTCAATGTAGGGACATAAACTCAGGGCAGAAAATCGGCTGGCAAAACAGGTAATGCATGGCTCACTAGATTATAATCTTTATATCATTTCCATTATTATTGTAGGGTACGCTTAGTGATATATATATATTTTTTTTAATCCATAGTAATGAATGATCCAAATATTTGAATTTAAGATTCCGTATATATTATACTAATTTTCTCTTCTATTACTGAGTCTGTGTTGACCCTGACCCTATTAAGTATAATGATTAAAATAAGAATTATATACATAAAGTTTTATATTTAAATTTTGTTATTGTTATCGTAAAAAAATAATAATAAAATCTTATAATATCTACACTAGCATTTCAAATTTTATTGAACAAAATGTATATCAAAGGTATTAGGCTATTGACTAACATTTTTCTGAAAAATGCTATCAAGTAGTGTCCGTAAATTTTGTTAAGAAATTAAAAAAAAAAATCTTGAAGAATATTAATACAATGAATTTCTATATAGTTCAATTGTAATTACACATTTTTTTAATTATTAATTCCTTAATTAATGTTCCTATAAGACTCATTAATATGACTTTATTTTCTATTAGCTAGTATATAATTTTTTATGGTTCCTCTTTTTTGTTGTAGAAAAAAGCTAGTAATAAATTATGTTTGGTCCAGAGACACGAGCATGAACAAGGCCAGTCCTCGGACACCTCCCTTACATTGGGGTAAGTTTCTTGAAGAGACGTAGCTGATTTTTTTCTTCAGTTTATATTTCAGATAGAGTAGATAAAGTAAAAGTGAAAAAAAAAAATGTTCCTGAATTTGGAAGGTAATATTATTTTAGTTTCTTAAACTAAATAATTACTTAAAAAATTATAAAAAAAATTAATTAAATCGTTAAATTTATTATTTATTATCATTTTGGTCGTAATTATATATTAATATTATTACTTTGGTGACATTTTTTTATAATTTATATGACTTGGAAAGTAATTATTTTCATGCATGCAATGCCTATGTGGTGCCGATCGATAAATTTTTTTTATTTTTAATGAGTGGTTGTTTTGGTATGCCTTGCAGGCTCAAAATAACTTCTGGTCAATGAGGGGACCACGATACATGCCTTTTACTGTGTGACTTGCATCAAAGATAAAATGTTTCATGCATTTGTAAGTCTAGAACAGTGCCATTCTCCACCCCACAGTTACTTGAGTGAACCTTTTTTTTTCTGGTAATTCGTTATTGTTAGTAGAAACGGTGGAGTAAGATTTAGGTATGATGCAGTAATATTCATCTCCATGTTGGTCAAGGAAAAGTTATATGATAGGATAAAGTTTCTTTTGGAAGAATTAATGAATAATTTGTGCGTATTTATCTTATAAAAATTTATAAAAGTATGTGAACAAATTTTTAAAATATTTTATTTGTATTATTTTGATAAATTATTTGATATAATTTATTAATTAATTTATGTATAATTTTATTAGAAAATATTCATATCCAAATCATCTTATTAGTGTAAATAATTTTTAATTTTATTTTTTCATTAAAAATCAGTTATATATACTTTTTTCATTAGTCTCTCTAAAAATTTTCATTTTTGTTCGAAAAGTTTTTGTTTATCTTTATTTTTGTTCTCTTTCC